AGGAGAGAAAAATTTACTCAAACGAAGGAGATGATGGTTGTGATGGCGCTAGCAGTGCAAGGGGGGGCGACAGCGGTGACATGCGGCTGAGCGGAGAAATGAGGGTGAGAGAGTGAGAGGGAGAGAAGGGAAAGAAGTTTGGAAAAAGGGGGGAATGACTGAGTCTCTGTTTTCTTTTAACTTTTTTTTTTAATTAACAAAAAGGCACGGGCGTTACAATAATATTGTTCTTCATTCCTACTCACAATGGGCTTATTTGCAAGCCAACTTGATTGAATTCCAAACCCCACCCCACACCCCCCCCCCCCCGGGGCGGCCTTGACTTCTTACTCACAATTGGCTTATTTGCTAGCCAACTTTATTGAATCCCCCAGGCCCTTCTAACTTTTACTTCCTCTAAAGGACGCACATTCAAAAAAAGCCACTCAATCTTATCATCTCAAGTAGATTGGTCTTGCTCGTTTTGCTAATTAATTAGGATTTATTTAATAACATTTATATTAGTTTTACAGTTACAAAAGAATAGCAGTGGTGTATAAGAGTGAGAGGTGCGAAGTAAGAGATTTAGGAGCAATGTTTTACAAAATCAGACAGACTTACTAGTTACAAGTTTAATCAATTTAACTATTAGTTCATTCATAATGATGTTATAATAAAGTCATAAATATATTTATAATATAAATACTTATTATTGAAATTAATATAAAATATGGAAAAAATCACAAAAATAATGATTAAAAAATTTAAAAATCCACCATTTGTTGCAACATCTTTCACAAGTTATATTCCATCATAGATGTTAAATATTGATTGAAGTCATTAAGTTTTGTAGAAAGATCCTTCCATATCTTTTGTAGAAAAAAATAAAAAAGAACTTGTCAAACCAACAAGCCGGTTTTGTTGGTTTTTTCAAATTTTTGACCAATTTTAACTGGTTTCCACTAGTTCAATAAAAAAATAGCTTTATAGGTTGAATTGGTTTAGAGGGCCTACCGATTCTCAATCAAATCTGTTAATTGGCCGATCAAAACCGATTTTGCCAACACTATTATTAGGGCTGATTATTAAAATTTTCAAAACATTTTTGTTAAACGTAGATTTATATTTGCATTTATTTTTTAAAAAAAAAATTGCATTTCCACTCCCACTCTTTATTTTTATTAACATAGGCAAGATAAGTATTACCTTATTAAACTAAGCCTTAGTAATTCAGATATTAACATACAAATTTGCTTGTGTAGCTCCCTGTGGCTTCATATGCATTAGTGCAAATCCTTAATTATGAACTGCCCAGTGAAAGAGGGGTGAGGACTGTTTGGACACCACGCTTGGAATCTTAATTGTTTGGTTGGTATCATAATCATTTATTCGAATCACATTTTAAAAAATAAAAATGATTTCACAATCATATTTTAAATAAGCGTGTTGAAAGTTACTTTCAAACACAACAATCAATCGTGATTCCAAGCATATTATTAAACAATTTTATATTTTTATAATCACAAATAGAATTTAAAATAACGGAAAATCCAAAAATTTTTTCCATTAAAATACATGTCTTATCAATCTCATTTAGAGAGTTGAATTTTTATTTATATTTTTTTTCAAAAAACAGGTGATTATTCAATTTTCCATCTTCTACTATACATTATTCTAACACGCAAACTTTGAGTGGAGATTATCTTTTTGTTTGGAGTTACTCTTATTAACAAGGCTAGAAAGCTCAAAAGCATAGGCCTATTGTTAGACTTTTTAGTTTATATGTTTAGTTTTATAACCCAAAAATCATAAAAAAAAAAAAATGAATATCTACTTACTATATCATCTAGTGCTTTAATCTAAAAATATAGAAACAATTACATTAACGATTAATTGTGAGATAGAAGATCATAATTCCCAACTTGAATATTTGGCTTTCTCATCTTTTATTTTCATACTATTTATAACAACTCGAAAATTATTGATTTTAACAACTTATTCAGCTTAAACCATTAGTCTAAAATTATTAAATTTAAATTATTTGAAAATGGCCTTTATAATCTTATATATAATTTAATTTCACACTCACAGACTAATATAAGAAGAAATATCATAATATTCTAATTTATATTAAATTTTTAAATAAAAAATCAAACATATAAATCAAAATTACCCTAAGCTAGCTAGGTTTGGTTTATATGACTTTTTAATAAATTCTTGAATCAATACCTCTTGACATATTGAGAAAGTGGCCCTCCTTTCTTTGTCCCCTAGAATTTTCTCTCACGTTGAAAGAATTTGGAAAGAACATGGGTTTGACCTCGAAAAGCAAATTCCCTAGTAAGTAAAGCTTAGATGCTGAGGTGAAGTATTGGTGCTTGGAGAACCCTAGCTAGTCATATATAAGTGCGAGCGCGCACGCGCGCGTCAATTTCCCTGCTTTTTGTTGTCCTTCACTCTGTTGACTTTATTCTACATGGGCAGAAGGCATCAATTCAATTTTAAAAAAAAAAAAAAAACAAAACAAAACAAAAGTTAAAAGGTAATCCACCTCGTTTGATAAAGTCAAATGCCTTTGCCACTAAACAAAAGTTTTCACACAGACAATGCTAGCTGAGCTTCGTCTAATTGAACTTAATTAATATTTTAGTTAAACAACAACCCAACATTGTGTATATCTTTCTTAATGCAACATTAATATGTCATGACAGACATTCTTATAGTCAAATAATGTTATTTTGGCCAATGGTGAATAATTAGATTCTTCTAAAGATATTTAAAAAGGTAAAAATCAAAACCACATAACTAAATGCCGAATAATCTTTTGGATAGCAAGTAAATTAGCCTATATTTGATATGTTGTTGAATTCATTAGATCAGCAGACTCAATAATTATAAGATCAGCAAACTTAATAACTATCAGATCAACATCAAATACTAATCAACGGTTGTTGGAGTTTCCAAACAAGTATATTCAGCCCCATCATTAAATAATTCTACAAGGGTGTATTGAAATAATTCTCATAGCTCAGGGACCTTGTATCCAAAAATAGAAGTTCAAAGGATGTACATGCAAACGGGTGATTGTCTTTATGAAGCAAACTGTGACCCTTTATTAGTCTTTGATGATCTTCTAACAAATAACAAGTAATCAATCAAGTTGCTGGTTGTCAATATTATCATTTGCTTGGATTGCTGTCACTCCAAAAATATTAACACACGTAATGTCGAATTTGCCCTTGTTAGCTGATCGCTCTGTTTGACCATTTCCTCCTATTCCAACTGTTTAAATGTATTGTTTTCCGGATTTGGGTTAAGTGCAAAGGCTGGGGCTTGATGATTTACTTCCCTGAACTTACTGGGCTTGCAGAGTAATTAAATTACTCAGTAATGTTTTTATATTTATAAGTTTATCCACCAATTTTGCCTTCTTTCAACAAGATATCCTCTCAGTTTCACTGCTATAATATTTCTTGTCTTGTTTTCTTTGTCTTTTTTCCCACCCTTCTTTGAATTTTCCACATTTTTATCTTAGCAAAAGCTGGAAATTAAAACGAAGATATTCTTGCATTCTTATCCTAGGGAGAAAAACTATTAACTAGATAGATCGCCTAGATACATAATTCATAAATCAGGCCAAATAACGTTGTTAATAAGTTAACTCTTGTCAATTTCTGGCTAATTCACTTTTTATGATGTTGTGCTGTGACATGTTTGTATAATAATTTTATATAATGTAATTGCTGGGTGATTTTACATAGGCTTAATTTCTTTTTGTTGCTGTGTATTAATAATAAATTACTTTGACCTTTAGGTGATTTAATAGAAATATAGGATCCGTTTCTTAAAATTCAAAAATTACAGAGAGCTTCTTTGTCAAAAATTTTCCATTAAAACAAGTGATAAATTTATGAAAAATAATAATGCTAAGCAACACTTGCATGACATTAAATTATTAAACCAGATTTCAGCTGTACACAAGGTGTTTATTTGATGTTATCTTCAAAAGTAGTATTTTTTTTCTTTCACAATAAAATAAAATCCACGTATATATAGTAAGATAAAAGAGAAGGATACTGCTCTTAAAAGTAATATTAAAAAAATCATACATAAGAAAAATGATCTTAACTCACCTGACCCTTAGCCAAGTGCTACCCTAAAGCTATTATATTATATGCTTAACCCATTATAGCCAAGTGCTACACTATTATCTAAATAGTAATTAAAATTCTAATTAAAAATATTTGATTGTTGCATTATGTTTTACATTGCAATTAACCCATAAAAAATTTAATAAAAATTACTCAACCATACTCAAGCAACTACGATTCTAACTCTAAAAATCCCCAACCTATGACTAGATGCACTCAAGCATGCTAAACCTAACTCAAATGAAGTTAATATAATACAGGCTAGACCAACAAGTATTGGTCGAAGTGATAAATGGCTTCCATCCAACAAGAGTAAGAATATAAATTTGATCTCGTGCAAGCATACTTATTAGAGAGTGTTTTACCCTTTCACACTTTTGGCCTGAAAAAATTCAATTTCAAGTGTAAATTGGCCTAAGAATACTCTTGGTTATATATATATATAAGTATGTATGTATGTATGTATGTATGTATGTAATATGGTGGGTATTATTAGTGTAATTTGAAACGTGACGGGTGCTTCTTGTATTTTCTCCAATCTAAAGGAAGGTTAGTGTAATTTATCCATCTTAATTGATGTTTTCCATAGGCCAACTAATTACAAATGACTTATTTTATGGACAATGTTATATCTAGTATAAGAAGTTCTTACAAGTTACATGTACACTTGTGTTTCTGTGGACCAACTTCTGTGTTCTTGTTGGATGCTTTGTGATGAAATCACACCTCTTATACACCGCCCAGTGCTTAGTCCAGGTGCATACCTTCCGGACGACCTCAAGACATATCAAAACCAAAACACAAGACGAAACTGCAACACCCAGAACATTTCTTTCCAAATGAGAACTTGCAATGAGATAAACACAATCCCTAGCTATAAAGATCCAACCCAAGTTTTCCAAAAACGCCCTCGCCACCGTCACCTTCCCCATCTTCTCCCCCCTGAAGAGCCTGCAAATCATCCCACAAACAAAGGGCACCCACAACTGAAAAACTAGTGGCGGACCACCCCCGATAAGCCACCAGCTTCCCTCCAACGACGAGGGTGTCTTTCCGGCACACGCATGACATGCACTCGCCTGAAAATGTCGATAAGAGAAGGGCATCTAGGCCCGTATAATAAGGCAAAACGGCCGAATCCACGTAAACACTAGCATGCAAGATACCCGAGATCGTAGACGCCTTGTAAAACGTGTACCTGATATCGCTCTCGTAACCTGTGTCGTGTGCCAAGGCCGAGATCAGGATGAGCTGTAGGACCGACGGACCGATTGCCGAGACAGGAAATGCCGTAGCGATCCTGTGGCCCTTGGCGAGCGCCAGGAGAATCAATGGGAGCGTAATTGGGCCAGACGGCACCAAGTATGAGATAGTAGCCCAACGGCCGCCATAAAAACATTGTAGCACCGAGATACGTGGCATGTAGCCCCATACTTCTGGATTAAGGTGAGAACTAAGGTGGCCCAATACGAGATTGCAACGAGAGCAAGTAGGAGAATGTCGACGACTGGAGGATAATTACCTGGATAGGTGCTACTGCAGAAGTAGTGATAAGGGCAATAGACGGGATCCAAGGTCTCTTCTAGCTGCCACCTTGTGCACTTGAAGAAGGCATTATGAATGTCGTCCAATTCCCCTTGCTGAAGGAATGCTGGATTAATCTCTATATGCGGGAGTAATTGCCTGTTCATTCTGGTTGTTTGTGAAGGCTTCCCTCAATCCTTTCCTAAATATGGTTGATGGGTTTGAATTGATTTCTTGTATGCCGAGGATATATGGGAGTTGGGATGTTCTTTCCGGGTGTAGGTGAAATGATGAAGCAAGACCAGCGAACTGGTTTTCTTCTGTCTATGTTTTCATCTCAAAGATGGACTTGCTTATCCTGGATAGGGATTGCTTATCCTGGAGACCATTTCAATTCTACCATATTATAAAAAGGACCCACCAAATTATCTCTTCTGCTAGATATGTTCTTCTGTCTTCACCATATACAAGAAACGTCTCATCTTTGTAATGTGAATTAGCCATATATATGAAATTGGAGGGATGGAATATGGAGTAGAAGAAAGGTATTATGTATGAAATTAGAAGGAAAATTAAATAAGCTGAGGTAGTTGGAGTCTATATAAAAATACAAATAAATAAATCCAAGATATTAATTTTAAGCAGGTGGGTTGGGGCTATCACTTGAGGGCTGAGGAGGGTGAGGGAAAGAGCTTCATTTGTAAGCGATGCAGTTTTGCTTGGGATGGCAACATGGTTATGCTGAAAATGGACGCTATCTGCTTGATGGAAAGTTGCAATCTTTGACACGAGGGAAGCTTATACTCACTGTCAGTGTACATGTGAAGCTATGCAATATTATTGCTAAAAGCTTCCAGCTCTTGATTTAATCAGGGTAAAAGAGTGGAACCAAAACCAAAATTAGTCAAAGTAGATTCGGGTTACCATGTTCATAAATTTTTGGTTTGGTATGTAAAATTCTAATGTTAATTTTTTATATAATTAAAAATTGCTCAAAATTTTTCAAATTGAGAAATTTTTTATACCAATTTTTTTTTAGAAGTCTAAAAAAAGCCACAAAATAAGACTTTCAAAAAACTATTATTTTATAATTTCAGAAGTTTGAAGTAGTTAAAAATCTATCTATATATATATATAATATATAAAGGATTCCTTCAACTTAAAAAAATTATTTTTATAATATAATTATTATATAAAATATTTTTTTTCTCTCTCAACAAATTTTTATGTTCTTTTCTCCATAATTAAATCCTAAATCCATTAATGTTAAGAAAGCCCTACTTGGCAAAATGTTGCGGTACCAAACAAAATATAATCAATGAGAGGTTTGTCATGTATTTTTCTTTTTTGTTAAAAAGAAAAGAAAGAAGACTGGAATTAAATTATAAATTTAGATGTACAACGTCTCTATTACTCGAACAACTTTAAGTTCCGAAATTTAATAAAAGAATGTCATGTTAAAAATTTATTTCGATTTATTGACGTGGCACTCTACATGCGACCGACATACTCGTGTTGAAAGATCTATTGTCCCCCATTTTTTTTTTCTTTGAAGGGTTCATTGATTGGATCAATTAATGAACACGATTAAATGAGAACTAATATTGCTTAGCAGTTGAAAGGTAGACCTTTGAAGTCAGCACCTAACTAAAGGGAATTAATGCTCAAACTTTTATAGAAATTAACGGGCATTTTACCTAAATAGCCTCGCTTCTTTGTAAACATGTGGTCTTGCCAAAAAAATTTACAATTAGGACTTGTAAGCAGTCAAATTTAGATCAAATCAAAGTTTCAAATTCAATTTAAAATTTTATAAAGTCTGGGTTTGTCAATTCATATTTATATCTTACTAAAAATTTGAAATTTGACAAAAAATAATACTCTTTTATATTTAAATCTCTTGATTATATTCCATGAACCATCTTACCCCTAAATTTTCTAATTTTTCAATTTAATCCCTACAAATTTGAATTCATTAATATTATATATAATATTATTAATTTATTAATAAACATTATTAAAATTTGAATTTAGATTTTTAACAAATTAGATTCTTTAATTTCATAACCGATCTATTTATTTTAATTTACAAATATGTATAATTATATTTAATTCATTGAATATATTAATTAAATTTAAATCCTAAAATTTGAATCAAATTTAAATAGTATTTTGATTCAAATACAATCCATTCACAATCTTAATACCTACAACAACAGTAATTAAAATTTGAAATTTCCTTAAAAGAAACAATAATTGAAAGACTTGCATTTATATAATTAGAATTATAGATTTACTTTTTAAAAAAAAATTCTTCAATTTTGATATTTAAAATAAAAAATAATGCAATCATTTTGGAAATGCATCGTCCTTTTCAAATAAAATTTAACCACAAAGTCCTGCATCTTAAAATAATCAATTTTGGGTGATTCAATTTTCCCTTTTTTATTTAAAAATATTTAGGATAGATATTATGGAAGTTAAGTTTTAATAGCGTTTTAACTTTAAAAAAAATCAAGAATAAAACAAAATAACGGGATTAAAGTTGCTTTATATCACTTTTCTTGGTGAAGCAAATATTGGAAAAGCTCTCTTTTATATCACTTTTAACTAACTTAACGACCCCTCCAACCGCAGGAATTGTCAGATCATGGACCCCATTCACCTGTTGGATTGGTTCGATGAAAAAGGTCAAGAATTCTAACCCACCCGCTTCTTTTGGGTCATGTGTCCATGGATAAATGTATATATCATTATTAAACAATAAATCTTTTATATTATCACTTTTTCAAAATACTTTTTCAAAAATAATTTTTTTAAAAATTATTCCATACTAGTTTTGAAAATAAGTAAAAATCTAATTTAAAAAAAAAATTACCCAAACACTCTAAAATATTTCAAAAATACTTTTTTAATAAGAATAATGATTATTTTATATATAAAAAAACCTTAAACAAACGCACCCTTAATGGCCTAGAGTATCTAGAAGTGAGACTTAAAGACTAATTTCATGAGCAATTCAACAGCTAAATTTTGATGCGTGTAGTGGTAACGCTAATTGTCCAATCATCTATATTTGAAATTGATTGGAAAAATACATCAAAATTTCAAGTTCAATTTAGATAGTTAATTAATGCTAAAATATGATTAAAACGTGCAATTTTTTAAAATTTTTCTTAATTATTACATATAATTAAATTTTTTTAAAGTTTTAAAAATTTAACATTTAACTATTCTAATATTAAAGTTTATCAAACAAGACCTTATTCCTCTTCTATTTAATTTGTGTTTGTTTAACAGCTAAATTTACTTCTTTTGGATCCTACGTTTTCCTTGTATACAAATAAGTTTATGTAAAAGCAACAAGCTTTTTATTTAATTTAGAGAGAATGAAGAGATGAGTTTCACTGTTTCCAACACTCTTAAAAACATGTTTCTTGTAGCAAAAATATGTCAAAGATAGTTTTAAAAAAATGGTTTTTCCCATGTGTTTATCAATTGATATGTGAATAATGAGATTTTGTGAAACAATTCAAAGTTAACATCAACTTAGACAGAAAAGTTGAATGTTCACCTACATACTTGAAAGGTTATACCTTCGCAATGTTTAATTCAGGAGTAAATTGTAAGCCATGATAAATTATGGAGGTTTAATGTAATTTATTGAAAAATTTAAGTGTTCTGATTGGGGAAAAAATGCACTAAAAGAAAAAATAATTACCCTTTAAAATGTCACAACTTCTCCTATCCTTTCATCTCTAAATCACACATCATCAGTCAGTATTAGAATTCTCTTTAATTGTGATTAAATTGGCAAGATGTTACATGTATTTTTGTGATTTGATTTTTCTTTTAATTTTTTGACAATGAAAACTTCATTTTCTCTTTTCAAAAGGAAAAGTTTATGAAGAATTTTACCATACCCAGGCCAAATCAAGTGTTTTAAAACCTGTCCTACTTGCACGAATAGAAATTGAACACATGGACAAAAATAATACATGTGAAATTTACATTATAAGTCCTCCAAATCTAATGTAAGTTCAATTCTTACAATTCCGGTACACAATTTGATCCCGGTTCGGGTTTGTTGATTCTAAGACAACTCTGGTTCAATTGCAAAAATCAAGAACTTTAATTAAACCGTAAAAACTTCTAATTCAAAGTCAGAATGAATTAGAATTAGATGATTCAATCAAGACTAGTTTTTTTACAGTCCAGTCTAAGCTAATTCACTGTCCAAAACCATGGATAGAACTAGATCAGAGCACCAATCCTCCATCTTTCTTGGACTGCCTTGTCTCAATCTTTTTGGCGAGTACATTAAATATGGGTGGGATCAACAGCATACCTCCTACAAGCTGTTCATCCACAACTTTTCAAAGAATATAAAGTGACCATCCCAACCGCTGGACAAGCAAGGTCCATGGTCTGCCACTACTGGCGTATAGCTTTAGGAACTTTTCTGCCACCATGGCACTCGCCAAGCAAAGAAAATTTGGACAAATTATTACAAGAATAATTTAAAAGGAAGGAGAGATGAAGAAGAAATCAATTAGGGAAAGTTGCCTTTTCAAGGAAGATTAGGAAAATGACAAACTCACTCGAACGCAAATACCAAAGAACAAAGATCAACTGCTATATGGTTAACACCATTCACGTCAAAGAAGCAATTTCAGAGTTCACAATTCCCAAAGCTTTTTATCTTCCATGGGATCATTCGCTACATTGGATAAAGACGAATAAGGATAATTTATCTATTCATATCGGTGTTTGGTAGACATGATAAATTGACTTGGATAAGATATGGATATGACAGGGATGTTCAACAAACCGAATCAAACCAATTAGACTGCATAAACTGAACCAAACCGTATGAAATCAAACCAAACCGTTTAGAATGATTTAGTTTGAATTTGATATTTAAACAAATCGTATAAACCAAACCAAACCAAACCGAACCGTATAGTTTATATATATACAAAATTAAAAATTCTATCTTTATATATATAGTATATTTTTATTGTTTAACTGTATATTTCTTCTTTTTATTATCTTTTATATTTATATTCAGTCTAATAATTGATTATTTTTCTTTTTTAGAGTGTAATTTCTATTTATAATAGTGAAATTCTGTAAAATGGTACAAATATATTTATTATAAAATGTA